CATGGTCACGCGAATCAATATCTTGGAGAAAATCGAGACAATTGCTGGACTACTTTCGCGGATTGAATCCAGCGAGATTTAGTAACTTCATCAATTAATCGCGCATTTATTAGGTTTATCATCTGCTCCAAAGATGCAATCGTCGACATAGACGTTATGCTGAAAAACAGATTGAGCGAGCGGAAGTAAGGCGCCGTCGATTAAAGCTAATTGTTTAAGAACGCGAAGAGCTAGATATGGAACGTATGCAATTTTATATGTGACAGTGAGTAACCGATAGGCTTGAACGTTTAGGACGAATCTGATCGCCACAAAATTCTTTGAAAATCGACATCTCGTTCGTTGACGAGAATTTGGTGGTACATTTTAGCAATGTCGGCAGTATAGACATAGCGATACTGACGCCAACGAAGAATGATAATGGTCAGATCAGTTTGCAATCTGGGCCCAACTAAGAGATGATCATTTAACGAAAATCCGTTCGATGTGTGGCTTGATGCACATCATTCGAAGACGCATTGTAGTGCTGCTATTGCAAATAACCGCATGATGAGGAATGTAAATGATCTGTGAGCGAGAGATTTCCGTATCGCTGACGGGAATCATGTGACCTAAGCTTTCATATTCGCTCATGAAAGCACTGTATTCTTTTGCCACTTCGGGCTGAGTTTCAAATCGCCGACTCGAGAAAGACATGAAAGCGAAAAAGAATGAGAATCTCCGATATTCAACGGAGGAGGCGTCTTGAACGGTAATCGAACTATGAATCGACCTTGCTCATTACGAAAGTGAGTTGCGAGAAAGTGATCCGCATTGCTTTTCTTCCGGAGTAAGGAACGGTTTCCGAAAAAATTCTTCGACTTTCCAGAAGCGACGAAGCTCTTTATCGAGAGTATGCATTTCTGTATTGTATGAGCAAGGAATGTACTTGAATGGAAGAAATATGAGAGGAGTTAAGATGAGATGAGACAGGACCTGAAACTATCCAACCGAAAATAGTATTTTGTGCTACAGGTTCAGAGAAAGAACGCGATTGTAAACCGGGAAGACATTTCCATACAAGTCAGCTCCGACAATATTTCAATCGGAGAGGAGCTTGAGGGATTAGAATCCGCTAGATCTAGATCGCGAAGATGTAG